TGAGGTCAGGGGTGTTCGTGGTCATCTGGGTTCGGCCCTCCGTCCGCCCCAGCACTGGCACCGCTTGGCTGGACAGCTTTGTCTGCGTCACCATGGTGAACCCCATCAGGTAGACTCCAGCTCCCTTGGGAGGTGGGATGCCCACCTCTTGTACCTGCGTGTCGAGTACGGTCCTTTTCTGTGAGAGGCTTCGCGCTCGGGTGCAAGAAGTTGCGCCCGTACTCCAATTCAGGTTGCTTACGCCAAAGAGAACGGTCCGCATTTTCCTCGATGGCGTGCAAGTACCTTCCGTCGCATTGCCCTTCCCAATAAGCTCCAGACCGTCAACTTCCAAGTCCAACAATTGAGGGCCCACATCACCACCACTATCATCCGCCTCTTCAGCAGCTTCCTGTAGTGCAGCATCATGTTGCTTGTCCGCTCGATCATATCCTGGTGCCGCCTCTCTTGCTTCTTCGCCCTCGATGCCGAGCGAATCTGCGGCTGTCTCACAATGCTCTTCGTACCTGGAACGTGCTGCCCGATACCCAAGTGCATATTGGCATTGTTCGGCAACGTATCGGTTCTCTGCTGAACGTACATCTTCTTTCCGCTTGTATGGCGGCTTGTAGCTCCTGCGTAAGCTCCTGTTCGTGCGCCTCAGCTGCCGTGATGCCGTGCTCTACGCTGCCCAGCTCGGCCTCGTCCATGGCGGTGCTGGCCTGTCCTAGCAATGGCCAAGGGCCGGGTTCCAGCTCGCAGGCACTGTGATGGCAGTCCCCAGTATGACTCACCTTCACGCTACGAACCTCTCACCCGAGCCAGCCCAGGACGTGTCTGACAGACGAGTCGCATCGCCACCCCCGTCACCATGACCAGCTCCATGCTCAGGCAGTTGGTCCAGCCCTCCATTCTAAAAACGTTGGCGACATCGAGCCCAGGGCGTTCGCCGAAGTTGGCACCTGGGTCTTGCGAACTAGCGCCAAACAGAACATCGACGACGTTCTGCCCAGGGTGCGCGCCCGAGCTCGCACCTGGGACTTGCGCTCTAACGCCTGGGGGTTGGACTTTATCTCGGCAATGTTCACGCTGAGCGGCGCCTTGCTGGTTCCGCAATATGCATAGGTGACACTGCCAAGGCTGGGGCGGAGTGGCTTGCGGCTTGCGATGACGGTAGTCCTGACGACGTTCCCGAGGCACGTCCAACTGCATCCCTGACAAATTCGAGTTGGCCAATACCGCTGCCTGCTGCAGCACCAGGTACAGATGGAGGCTGATGCGCAGTATGAAAGGGAACGAGGGATGGGTGGCAGAACTCCTACACGCATGCTTGGCTCCAATTGTGTTTGCGGCACGCAACGCTGGACAACGCCGTCGGCAACTCTGGCAGTCGTGCCCTCCTCGCGGCGCCGGGCGTTCGCCTCCTCGAATGCGTTGAGCTGGTGTTCGTGGCGGACCCATTGCTCGAACTGGTTGTGCTGCGCCTGGTCCTCGATTTTGTCCAGCCATTCCGCTTGCTCTTCTGCGTCCAGCATATCATCCACCATTCGGGTACCCGTTGATGGCGGTGTTGGTGGGTTCGGGTTTGTAAACTGCTTTCCAATGATACGCATGCACTCGTCGTTGTCCATCCGATCGCGCCTCTCCTGCTCCTGCAGCCTTTCCACCTCATTCTGGAACTGATGAACTTCTTGGTTGAAGTTGCTGCCAGTCGGTATACCAGATATGCTGCCATGCAACTCGTAAGGGTCCTCTGAGACTGTCTGTCGAGCACTTCGCTGAGGCCCGCAAGGTAATGGAGCCGCCTTCTGCCTTCGCAGCTGTGCGATCTCTTCCTCGTAGAAATGCTGACGCCTTTCTGCCTCGCGCACCGTTGCCACTGCCCGGGACTCGTCGTGCTCCGCCCCCTCCCTTTGGACAGTTGGCTGCATCCAGGCTGCCTGGTATTCTGAGTCGTTAGTTGCCTTCATCTCCTCCACTTGCTGCAGGATGCGGAACCTCGTGGCCTCCATCTGCTGCTCTGATAGCTTCTGGCGCGATGCCGTTTCCTCCATCATCTTCGCGTGGGCCTCCTCTCTGAGAAAGGGGCGGTGGCCAGCCTCATCAACCCGCCTTTCTTTAGCAACTGTTTTGGCGTGGACGATCTCGACGTTCGTGGTTGCCTGCTCGACGACCTGTCGCCTGCTCTGTAGGCTTTGCGCCCCCATCCTAGCTGCAGCCTCCACCTCCTCCGCCTGCCCCTTCTGGAACCCGATTTGCTCCTGGATCGCCTTGCGCTGCTGTTGCCACTCCAAGTTGGTCTGATGTAACGTAGCCGCCGTCTTCTGAGCCTGCAACCACTGCTTATGCTGAACATATGCCTTCACCTGCTCCATCACCTGCAGATATGGTGCACCTTTTCCCTGGTCCTTTTGCCACTGGCGCCGCCGCTCTTGGACTTGACCTAGCAATCGGTGTCGCTGACAATCCTGGACTGCCTACCTCCATGATGCCAGCTGCTGACACGTCCTGCCTGCATGGAGCGGTCGCGCGGCTGCGCCTTCCTTGGGAGGGGAGGGGGGGGGCTTGGGGCGCCCGGAGAGCTGCTCCCTTACACCCCCCCTCTCCCGGGGCCACCGCGCCGCCCCTCGCGGCCGTCGCGCCAACAGCGGCCCTTGCGCAGGTGCCCGCGGCGCCCAGGGGGTCCACGGGCTGCGCGACGCCCGCATCAGCTGCGCCAGCATCAAGAGGAGGCCCTGGAGAGTGAGCAGGGGGTGGCCGTAGTTCAGAGGCGCGCAACGTCGTAGCATGTAGCAAGCTCGACGGTGCCGTGGCAGAAAGCGGCGGTGGCACGACAAAGGAATAACCTGACCTCTAGGGGCGATTGCCGCGTAGCTCGAGCATCCTCGCCACTTCTGCCTCGGATCACTGCCCATCGCAATCGCCCTTCATCAGCTGCGGCGAAAGCCTCGATGGTGATCCCTCTGGCGAGCTGCGAATAGTACACGGTGCCGACATCATCACAATCGGGTTCCTGCGGGGAGGTGGCGAAGACCAACGCCGAGCATCATCCTGGGCTGGATTTTGAGCCCCCAACTGCTGTGCAATCCCACGGCCACGTGCAGGAGCGAATGCTTGGCTTTGAGCCTCTAGCAGGGACGTCTGGCAACGCAGATGCCTTCCGTCAACAATCGGGGTCAATTGACGTGCGTCGAGACGATCTCGTCCAGCTGGGGGATGTGGAGGTGGCGGCGGTGGTGTTGGTGGCTGCTCCTCCTCCATTTCCGAGCATCCAGAACTCTTGGCCCTGTGTGCCGCCAGCTCCATTCGTCGATCGTAGCCGACATTATCATCACAAGTATTGTCCGTCACTTCCCCCCTCATCTCCACAGTTTCACGAAATATTTCGTGATGGCAATCGTACAACGTTCTCTGATACAAGATGTCGTCCATGATGATATGCTGCTTCTTCTCTAGTGCCGCGACCTTCTCCTCGGCATTCACCATGCCCGCCTTTGCCCCTGCCCGCTGGACTGGAAGAGGCTTCAGTTGCCAATGCATCCACTTGAGCACGCTCAGCTCGTGTTCCTGCGCCGCCATGCAAGAGCCAGCCTTCTTTCCTTGAGCTACCAACCCGGCTAGCCTCGTCATGCGATCTCCAACCATCTGCTTATAGTGTTTCGCTTCCCTATTGTCGAGAGGTGGCTTGTACGCTGGGTGCTGGAGGGCGTACGTCTGAGTTTAAATCATATGAGTGTCCAGAATTGCTTTGGCATCCGATCTGAATGTGGATTGGTCTCTCTCTTTCTTTCTCTCTCTCTCTCTCGCCGCCTACCATCCGCTTGACGCTGTTGGAACTTCCTCCACGTCATACTGCACTTGCGCCACTCCCCTCTTTCACGTACCGAACCCTTACAGCTCCAACTTCCCACTTCATTGTGAGCCTGGCACTCTGAGCAAGTCCAGGTACATGTATTTCTCGACGCCATGCTGCTGTGGTGGATCTTCAGAATACTGCGAGCAGCGTGAAGACGAAGGAGAAGTCGAGCCTGTCCTCGCAGCCTCCTGGCACGTCTGTGCCACGCCGCCTCAGGCCGCTTGGCCGTCTGGCCGCGCCTGCAGGCAGCCTGGGGCAACGCCGCCGCCGCCCGCCGCCTGCCGCGGGCGCCGCGAGGGGCTGTCGCCGAAGGGGGAGTCCGGGGGTATCCTCCTCCCTCTGCAGCCCCTATGGCGGCCGCCGCGCTGCCGCCGCCCGCGCGTGGGTCCCCGCGGGCCCCACCCCAAGCGGGCAACGGCTCTCCTTTCTCCTCCTCCTCTTCCCTCATGTCTGTGCTCGTGCCTGTTTGCTATGTTCAGTGTTGTTGTTGGGTCGACGCTTGGCCCTGTGAATCCAAGGTTTGAAGTACACCAGGATGAGCCTGCGAGGCTCCGTCAGGATCCCTATGCTCAGGAATGGCACTAGGAGGCCAGGCTCGAGGGTTCACGTGAACCCAGAACCCCTGTGCCCGTCATTCTGAAAACCCGGAGCCTCCCCCGTGTGGAGCGACGCGCCAATCCTTCTAGGATCGAGCCAGAAACGCTCGTCCTCGAAGATCAGCGGAATTTCGAATTCTTTAGACTTGGGGGGGGAGAAGCGGGGCGGCGGAGTTTCGATGAAGCCGTTGGGCGCTTATCGAGAATCAATGTTTTCGCGAGGACATACAGATTGTACTGGAGCTTCGATGCCGTGATACGCCCATTTTGAAGCTCACCACATGCCGTGTTCAAAAAGTTTGGGTTAAACATGCTGCGTGTTGATTCAACACGTGTACGTTTTGGCGAAGGCAGCGTGGAAAATGTTTGTTCTCAAGGTACGTGTTGAGCTCCGTGCCAACACGCTCCTGGTTGCGTGTTCCGTATCACGGCAGCTAAGTACTGTGGAGGTCTTGCGTGCAGGCTTGCGTAAATCGGTTTTGCTGGTGCTGGTAACGGCTCCGGCTTCCATGAATCGGGATCATTTCAGCCTCATTGGCGTCTTTTTCAGACCGCATCTTTCGTCGAAGGACGAGGAGATCTTGCAGTGCGTGGCGTGCCGTAAGACTTTCAAGACCCAGGCAGCCTATGCAAGCCACGAGCGCTCGAAGAAGCATCTGCAGATGGTCGCGAAGTTGAAGCGAGAGATGGAAGAGGAGGACGATGAGGACACAGATGAGGAGGGCCCAGCGGAGCCGGCGCCGGGGCAGGGCCCAACGTCCAACGACCAGCATTCGAGTGGGGTTTGAAGCTCTGGAGCCAACGCTGTGCCCGACCAGCCCGTGCTCGGCCTACCCCCTGGACGTTTGCGCCTAGGGATGTCTAGGGAGGAGGGGGGGGAGGATAAGGCCCCTTCCCTCCTCCTCCCCCTCCAGATGGTTTCAGGCCTGGGGGACGCTTTCAGGACTATCTTACCATGGGAGCTCTTGGCCAGCGTTGACCCCAAACATTGCGTTATCGCACTCAGGATGCGTTTTACATGCGTTGCAGTATCTGTGGGGCAATCTACGTGGTGCAACCTATGTGTTGCAAGCTGCGTTGTGCAATCTGTGTGTTGCAAGCTCTGTGGTCTAAGCTGCTAACTCGGTGGTGCAATCGACGAGTTGCAAGCTATATGGTGCGATCTACGTAGCGAAATCGAATGGCCTTCGGCCCATCCCGCCACCGTGCCTGGGTTGTGGGTCAGAGTTCTCAAGGATGCTTCTTGGGGTCTATGCGCGCCCGCATCGTACCATTCCATAATGGTCACGCCATTTGATTGTGGTATGTATTCAGCGAGTGCGCGCACGCAGAAATCTGACAACGCTTCGTTGGCAGAGCAACAGCTGTTTAAGTTATGTCTGGCAGACTTAGACATTGAAATTGGTGTAGTGCCACAGGTTGTTTGAACGATTTGGACATGTGCATTCGGGGGCGCGCGCATGTGGCCCTCATGGCATGTTCAGTTTATTTTTACACCACGCACTGACATCATTGCGTGTGCAACGGATTGTATTTTTGAACGGGGTGACAGCGGGGGGTGTTATTGGTTTGGTTGGGATGCTGCTATCTGTCATCTGTGATGAACCCTCGGGTGTAATACATGAGAACCTCGTAGGTGGAGGGATACAGATAAGTCCAGAGTGGAGGTCTAAGACTTTGCAGGAGAAAGGCGTCGATGTATTCGAAGCTATGTGGTGCAACCTATGCGGCGCAAGTTGCGTGCAGTCTTCGTGGTGCAAGCTACGTGGTGCAAGCTATGTGGTGCAATCTATGTGGTGCAAATCTGTATGGTGCAAGTTACGCGGTGCAAGCTGTGTGGTGTAGGGTCCGTGGTGCAATCTACAGCAGGCCGTCGTGGGCACCAAGGGCGCCCACCAGGCGACACCTCGGCGGACCCAGCCAGCGCACGGAGCGCCCACGAGGCGTCCACGGGCGGCCACCAGGCGAAGCCTCGGCGGACTCAGCAAACCAGTGAATGAGAATGAGCCAGAGCCCCTAAGTCTTCAGCACGCCTTCCGCGTTCGGAACGCATGTAGACGCATTCCCTCAAAGGTTCCCCGTGTAGGTCAACCAGTACTGGATCCCCCATGAAGGTCCGCATCAGAGGTCGCCACTCCTTTCCACCTCATAAGGGGACAGGGGGAGGGGTCCTCTGGGGGAGGGGGGGGAGGGGGGAAGAGGAGGTTCGGGGGGGGTCCTCAGGCAGGGGTGGGGGGAGGGGAGGGAGGGAAAGGGGATGTAAAGTGGAAAGAAGACGGGGGGACAGTCAATCCATAGCGCGACGGGCCGCGATCATGTATTATTATCCAGTGTGCACGATGCGAATTGTGATCTGGAGTGAAACGGTGCAATGACAAGGGATGAGTTCGAGGGTGATGGGGGGCAAAGGGCGGGGTAATGCTAGACTTACGCTTTGGGCAACAACATGTCTTGTGCTGTCGCTCGGCGCCTTGCCTTAACTGCCCATGGACCACGCTTGTAAGGCACGCCATGGCGCCAAGGCCCGCGGTCGATGGCAGGGCCGTGAGCACACCTATTTGCCCCTCTCCTCTCCAGCCCCAGCCTCCGGAGCAGCTTCATCTACATTGCCCCCCTCCCCCCCCTCCGCTAAATCCACTTCACTCCCGTTCCCCGGGGGAGCACTGAACGACGGCTACGGGGAGTTGATCGGTCGCCCGAGGCACCCGCGCAAGCCACATGTGCACCTGTGAAGGCCAAAGCACAAGCCAAAGCCGAGGACCTGTTCGACTTAGAAGCAGGCGAAGGACGGCGGCCGCTTTCTGCTCGCATACAGAGGGAACGCTTATTTGTAGAAGGCTTTCGTTTCAAGAACTGCGACCGCGCTAAGAGGCAAGGCAGCCAGGCTTCGCCAAGAGATATCGCTCCCATGGTACTTCAAGTCGGCCTTCCGTTGTCTGGGCTACTGCCGCGCGAAGAGGCAACACAACTGAGGCAGAATTGCGAAGTCGCTTCATCGACAGAGCGGGCGTTCTTCTGTCCATGCTGTGCTTTGCCTTACACCTCCCCGCACTTTCGTTACACTTCACGCTGTAGAGACAATCATGTTCTTTGCTGCAAAGGGGTAGCGTACACATTCAGGAGCAGGAAATTCCAGGTCATTTGAGTCTCGCCCCCCAGGCAAGCAATGCGATTGCCCCACTGTCAGTGGCGTTTGCTCATCACTGTCCGCTACGCTCTGCATCACCTTGTATGTCACTGTTCATCGTCGGTTGTGTTACTTGTAGTTTCTGTTGCTTTGGGATGCTCAGCCGTGCTGTGGCATAGTGTGTGTGTGTGCGTGCGTGTGTGTGTGTTGCCTCCGTTGGCCGGTTGGGGCCCAGAAACCTTTCCCTGCGGAATGAAAAACAATGAGAGCACTGATGGGGAACGAACTCGCTTTGAGGTTCGTGGCCCTTCCTCAAAGCTTCTACGCTCCATGTCGGCTCGGCTCGACCCGGACCGTCAACTCGAGTTACTATTGGTAATCACCCGTCGGAAAATCACATGCCCCGCCTCCGCGTATCTGAGGTAGGTGCGTCGACTCGGGTGCAGTCCGTTTCGAAACCATGCATTTCGGAGCTGAATGGCTCAACAAGTCTTCGACCCGAAGTGCCTGGCTCAAGGTCGATGTTGGCTAACCTGTATTTGTCATTGAGTGTTGTGTTTGGAGGCGGCTAGGCGGTTTCAGGCCTATCGTCCGAGGGGACTCTGGGGCGTCCTTCTCTGCAGCCTCTTTGGTACGAGCCCACTGATGCAGTGGGTGCCCGACCAATTCAACGGCGCGACACCTGCAGTGCTCGGCGCCATACTCGGGCGGCTGACATCGGGAGCCACCAGCTGCTCTTGCCACTTCGACTCGAGTCCCATCGACGAGGGGCTCCTGGCCATCCTGCGCGAACAGCTGGATCGCTGCGGCCCAGACCACCTGCATTGCCCGCCCGTGCCGACGTGCGGGCCGAGGCTAGCAGCTTGCTGGTGACCGCGGGGCTGGGCGTACTGCTGGGGGCGGGCGCTGTCCTCCTGCTGCAGGCGGCGTGGGAGCCGCGTTGAGCAGGTCGAGTTCGACGGGGCCCCCGGCGGTGACGCCAACGACGCTGCGACGCCTGCGTGATGGCGACGACGCTGGACAATGACATCGTTCAGACTGTGGTGGGATATCCAGACGATCCGAATATACAATGGCATCACAGACAGCTGTTGTACGAGTTGGCCCCAGGCCGCTGAATCGTGGCCGCGCCCGACTTCTCCGTGCAGGCGCTGGATGTGACGGCCCATCGTGTGCTGCCTCTCGCGCGCGCTGCTCCGTGGACGGCGCAGACACGAGGCAGCACGTACGGGTTCGATCCGCTCGCGGCCGACCAGCGGGACGACCTCTTCCTGCGTGGTGGGCAGCCATGGCGCGGGCGCTCGGGCACCAGCCGGCTGCTGGCGCGGCCGTGGGGGCGGCGGTCAGGCAATTGCGGGTCTCAGACACAGGGGATCGGCGCTTCGACGGAGTGATCGCCGATGGCAGCATGCTCGGGGACCGCGCGGTGGTGAAGGGGGAGGCGGGTCTCCACCTGATCGACCAGAGAGCGGGCGAGTGGGTGACCGCGCAGCGGGTCAAGAACCGCGACTTGGACAGCTGGTTAGAGCGCGAGCGGAGCGGGCCAGGGCGCGACCTTCGCATCATGCCGGTCCACCGCGACTCTTGCGGCAAGACGGTCATGCTGCTGCGGGAGTCCGCGAACCTTTTCTCGGACCCCAAGTTCGCCGACTGGCCGTTCGAGGGGCCTCCCTCTGCGCGCGAGCTCTTGGCAGACACGGCGGCGGCGGGCCTCGAGCTGCACTTGTGTCCGACCTGGTGGGGGGGCATAGCGGCGTGAATCCGTCGGGCCTGCGTGGCGCCCGACGTCAGGCTGGCCTTCGACTGCCTGCGGGCGATGCAGTCCTGCGACCAGCTGAACATGCAAGCCCTGGCGTCGGCGGAGCTGATCTGCCTCATCATCGTGCGCCAGCGGGCTGTGAGACGGAACCCGAAGGCGCCCGACTTCAGGGGCCTGGAGCAGCTCGCGCAGTCCAACTTCGACGAGTCGGGCGGCCTGAAGACGACGGAGTTCGACAAATACATGGCCGAGCAACAGAAGACGAATGCGACCGTGCTCAGGAGTCTCAGACAGGGCCTCGAGGAGCAGGAGAAAGAAAAGAAGAGGCAGGCTGGTCGCAAGGGCGACGGCAATCCGGGCAAGGACTGAAGAAGCAGGGGGGTGCAGCGACGCTTGGGTCGTCACCGCGGGGCTTGAGCTCCAGCGCTGCATCTCCGTTGCCGAGGCCAGCCGCGACCTCGCCGCGCCGCGAAGTTTTGACGTTGCTGTGCGACGCGTTTTCCCTGCCGCTACCTCCTCTTGGTGAAAGTTGTGCTGACGGAGATCGTGCGGACTCGCGCCGCCCCCCGATTCGTGCCGGTGCTGGACATTCGGCGGCTGCCCTCGCCGCTGACGCGGTCGCGGCCCTGAATGGTCTGACCCCCTCTCGCGCTGGTCGTTCGCTGCAGCTGCGGCGGCCGAGGCCCTCCAAGCAAGTGGTCGCGTCGGCTCAGCAGTCGATGCTTGACCGAGTCAGGGGGCGGGTGGGCGACCAGTTCCCCGTCGCTCCCGACGCTGACTTCTCCTCTGCGTTTTTTTGTTTGGGGGGAAATTGAGTTCTCCTCCGCGCCCCCGGGCCTCCTGAAGTGCGCCGGCGCGGACTTGGCGAGCGACGCCGCCAGCCGGGCTCCGATCCAGCTGGAGCGACTCAAGATCTTGAAGAACGACGCTGTCCCGAAGGACGTGTCGGGCGTCGCGGGGGCCGACGCCTGCCGGCCCCTGGATGGCCCCTGGAGATGCATTGAGCGACGAGCTGGCGATGTTGAAGCAGATGGTTCACCTCCGCAGCCGTGCGCGGGCGGGCTGCGCGGGAGAAGCGATGTGCATCGTGCTGGGCCACATGGTGAATTTCTTCATGCTGGCTCCGCCCGCCCCGAGTGTGCTATCGTGCCCGCGTGGTTTCCAACGCCGAGAACCTGGGCCGCTTCCATCGGTCTGACAGCCGCGTTCGAGGGGAACTGGTGACCTGTCGGCGCCTGCTGGTCCTTGTCAAGGGCCGACTCCGACGGCGGCGCTGCCCCGCGGCCTCCTGCTCGGGCGCCTCCACGAAGTGCTGCGCCATCCGCGCGGGTCTCCTTGGCGGGGGTGAGCTGCGCGACGTCTGCCAGCGGCGGGGGCGCTGGAGGTTCGCCGACGCCGAGGAGGAGGGGCCTGGCCTCTCGCTGGCCCAGACGGGGTTGGACGCCGACTTCCACCAGCTGGGGAAGGACCTGGGCGTGGAGGACTACGACTGGCTTGGAGCGGCGGCCCCCGACCGCCTTGGTCGGCGGGCGCCGCGGGCGAGCAATCTGGCGCCCGTCGAAGCCGTAAGAGTGGTCGAGGCCGGGGTCCCACGTCCTCGCGTGACCGGCATCGCGCCCTCGCTGCCCGACGGCGCGGTCGCCGCTGGGCGCCGGAGGCGGCTGCTGGCCGGCGCCCGGGGGAGGCGCGAGGCGCTCCGTGAAGGAGGCGAGGATCGCACTGGTGGGATTCTATCATGCGTCGCGCGGCCCAGCGAGTCGCGGCGGCGCGGTCCTGCCCCTCGGCGACAACCTCTCCGAAGTCTTGGCCGCAGAGCGGGGTTGGGCGCGCGACCCGGCTCTGAGCGCGATCTGCAGGCGCGCCGCGGCGGTCGAGCCTGGGGCCGAGGCGCGGCGGGCTCGACGCTACATTGAGACGGCGCGCGCCCCCGCCGATTCGGGCTCGAGGCTCGCGGAGCGCGGGCTTCTGGCGCTTGGCGAGGCGCTGCGGCGGCCGGCCGGCCGCTCGGCAGGGGCGGCTGCAGGGGCTGGCGGCGGGCGCCGCGGCGGCCGCGGGCTCTCGGGCGTGCTCGTGGTTTTCAGCGACTGCGCCGGGCTCTCTGGCGCCTGCCTTTCGGCCGGGCCGCGCACCCTCTCGTGGATGTCTTGGCCGGGTCGCAGCGCGGCGCCCTCAGTGTTGGTGCCCTGCATGCCATCCTGAAGTGGATCTCTCATGGTCACGTCTCTCATGTTCATCTCATTCCCCCCTGCGCCCGATGGGGCGTCGCGAACGCGCGGGGTCCAAGGGCTCCGCGGGCTCTCGGGCCGGCCCTGGTTGCGCTGACTTCACGGTGAAGGTCGTCAGGGTGTGCCGTCGTGTTGGGGATATCCGAGTCATTTGTGAATCCAGCGTCCTCGAGGCCCCTGAAGCACCCGCCCCTCGCGAGCATGATCAGAAAGTTATGGCGTGACTAGTTCGAGCACCACTGCTGCCGCTACGGGGCCCCATTCAAGAAGCCCGCGGCATTCATCGCTAACGCGCCCGCCCTGGAGGTCATAGGAAGGACGCGCGTGCGCGCGGTGCCCCACGAGCGCCTCAAGGGGAAGGTGAAGGTCCCGGACGGGGCCGGCAAGCTCATCTGGAAGAGGAAGACCTCCCTGGCGGCCGCGTATCCTCCAGGGCCCTGCCCTGCTGCTGCACTAGGGCTCAAGGAGGCCCTGGGTCGGAGCGCGCTTCGACGGGATGACGAGCCGTTGCTCGATCCCCGCTGGGGGCGCGAGCTGGCCGCGGCTGCCGGGATCGCGCGGCCGAAGTCGCTCGCGGCCCCCTTGCGCCCACGGAGGTTTGCTAGTGGATGGGCGCACGCTGTCGGCTACCAGCCCTGCGGCGACCGCGCGGAGCAACGGCGCCTCGCTCTCCGCGCGACGGGCTGGGCGGCCGCCGGGCCGGGCGGCCGTCGAGGGCGGCGGGCGGCCGCCGCTGGGGCTGCTGACGCAGGACGGCGTCGACGCGCTGCCGCCGCCCAGCGCCTGGCAGCGCCGGGCCTCCACCCGGCGGGCGGTCGCCGAGGCGGCGACGATCGCGCCGGGTGAGAACGGGCACTTGTCGCGGCGCTCCGCAGGCCAGGCGACGCCGCGGGTCTAGCAGCAGGAGCACGGCGGCCTCGCGACCTGGTGGGGGACGCATCAGCTGACGAGCGACAGCCCCGAGGCGCGCGACAAGGCCTTCGAGCTGCACCCCGACAAGCTCCACTTCGAAGGAGAGCCCGCCTCCAGGGCCAACGTCGCCATCCACGCACTGATGTTCCATATCGACGAGGTGCGTGCGAAGATCCCGCGCTCCCCGCGGACCCGTCGCGCCCTGCGTGGCTTCCGCAAAGTCTCGCAGACTGGGGGGCCGCTGTGGAGCTCGCCCACTGGATGGGGAAGCAGCGCAGCCTAGTCATGGTGAGCTCGGTGGTGCTGACCCTCGTGCTGTTCGACGGCTGCCGGCGCGCGTCCGAGGAGCTCGGGCTGGGCCGCGACCAGCTCATCCCACCGCAGGGCAGCCGCGCGGCCGCCGCTGTTGGGTCGCCGCGACCTGCCCCGAGGAGGGCGGGCGGCCCACCGAGAGCGGCGTCTTCGACGACGCCATCATCCTGGGCGAGACCTCGGAGGCGCGGCGGCCGCGCGCCACCGAGCTCGTGGCCGTGCTCCACCGGGCGACGGAGCCAGGGGAGCTCATGTTCGACGGGTTCACGCTCGCGGGCTACGAGAGGGCGTTTCGCCGCGGGGTCAAGGAGCTGGGCATGGCCAGCCTGCAGCTCACACCCCGCTGCCTCCGGCGCGGAGGCGCCTCCACCGACGGCCTGGGCGACCCCCCGATTGCCCGGATCCATACATGAGGAAGATGGAAAAGCCCGGTGAACTGCAAGAGGCACGAAAAGAAAGGCACGCTTCTCAAGCAGCTCGACCGACTGAAGTCGATTCCAGGCCCAGACGTTGATTCCAGCATGCGCTGGCTTCTCATTTGGTTCCCCCGTGTTCTGCATAATGTTCGTGCCGCGGAATCGCGCGTGCCCGACCCGCCCTCCTTGAAGTCTATTGTGATATGGGCATGGGAGATGCAGTGGTGCTGGCGCGACAGCTCGTTTCTTGAGCAGGATGTTCTACTACGTGTGTCTCGGGGCCTGGTCCAGGTCGGCCTGCAAAATGAATTTGAATCGGGTTGAACTCCGCGCGCGGCGCCACTCCCCATGCTTCTTTTTTGTCGGGCGGTCCGCGCTTCACCGCCGATCAGCTCCCTGAGCATTTTTGTCATTGACCGTTGTGTTTCAAGGCGGCCAGGCGGTCTCAAGCCTCTCGTCCGAGGAGATGATGGGGCGCCCTTCTCCGTAGCCTCGTTGGGTCACGCCCTCCCACCCTTTTCCTTGTCTCCCATAGGGGGATGCAGCGGCGCCCGCGCGACAGCTTGTTTCTTGTGCATAAGTTGCTACAACGTGTGTCTCGGAGCCTGGTCCAGGCCGGCCTGCAGAATGATAGTGGGTTGGGTTGAGTTCAGCATGTGGCATCGCCCCCCCCGTTTCTTTTCCAGGCGTTCCGCGCTTTACCTCCGATGAGCTCGCTGAGCAAGAACACGTGGTGACGCCCTGCGACGGACTTCGCTCGCGGCAGTCTCCACCTTTCGCGTCGCGGGGGCTGGGTGAGCTGACCTGCAGCAGGGGAGGCGCTCTGGACTTCAGGCCTGCCCCCCCCCCCACCCCACCACTGACCCTTGCGCGCGTTTGTTATCGCGCCTCTCGTGCGACGAGCTCCCCATCCTGTCCGAGACCGCACTCGCGCGTAAGGATCTGCCAGCTGATGCATTGGCATGTGCAGCATGGGCAGGTGACATTCGGGCGTGGCCACTGGACTCTGTCGGCGCTGTCTGTCGTCGCCCTGCCGACGCGACAACGAAGCGCATGGTTCACGCGCTGCCGCCTGTCAATCAGCGGCGGCTTCGGGGAGTCAGAAGCAGGTGGCTTGCTCGTTCGATATATTGCGACGTGCCCAGCCCAGCACCATGCCGTTGGACATTGCTTGGACGCATCGCATTCAAACCGCAATGCGTTCACAGACTGAATGGGGCACCATGGATTCCCTTGCGGACCGAGAACAGACATGGCTCGCGTTTCTGTCTGGCCGCGGATTCTCTCATGGACCGCGTTCCTACCGAAGAGTTGGTCAACTCAATGAAGCGTCGTGGCGCGGGCGAGCGGCTCAACGTGGACACTTGTTTGGTGGGGGCGTTTGAGCCCGGCGTTGCCATGATTCTTCAACATCGGATGTTCTCCGTGGACGCCTCTCGTGGGAGGCCCGATTTGCCTGCCGGGCTTGAGCATTCGGCGCTAGTGCTTCTAGCACCAGATTGGCCAAGCACGGTTGCGCATGCGCAGAGACATAGTGCCCGGCAGCTACGCGCAGACCTCGAGCGTAGAGCCGCGGCCATCGCTATGTGGATCTGGAGATCGAGAAATGCTATTTTCACCTCCCGGTGGCGCTGACAGTTGGACACGGGGCTTGCCCGATAAGTTTTTGCATGATATTCTGGATGATAGGGAGAGCGACGTGGTACATAACATGTGTTGGCAGGATCTCGTTGTGGGTTTCAGCACGAGAAGCCTCTTCATCGACTAGCAACCATGGTGGAAGCGCGCGCGGCGTGCAGTCATTGCGCGCTGCACGCTGAACGTGAGCTACAATCGTTTGCTTGTGCTCGGGCCTACCACCCCCGCCTTTGCCCGACAGTCCGATTGCGCCTTTTGGCGCCGCCCGAAGATCTGCACGTCCGCATAGCGACCAACTGCGAACATGCACTCGCTGAAGTGCTTTCATATGATGGCACTGTTCTTTCCGACCCGCGCATGTCGGATGTGTTTTTTCCCCAGCGTGGAGCCCATAGTGTTCCACTCTTTGTTTGCGTCTCTGCGGGAAAACAGTCTCGGGACAAACGATGCAGCATGAAGTTCCTCGCTTCCAGCCGCATGCACGGGCGTGGAGTTAACAATGGGGGAGCTTCATCGGCTTCGCGAAGACCATGCAGAAAACGCAAGATCCAGTCTGGTCAACGGGGACAATCGGATGTCCGCAATCATCGTGATGGGTGGCCGCAATGGCGACTGACGCTCATGTGCAAACATGCCAGTAACAAAAGATGAACCAGCACATGTTCTCTGCATTGCCACATTGTGGTGCTGTGTGTCTCGGGTCCATCACATGTCCTTGGCCGAATCATGTGTTTGTTGAAATTATGTTGCTTCGCAGCTGAAAGCCAAACGCGGCAGTCACATTGAGCCAGCATCAGGAAACCAGGTAGTTGTTGGTGTCAACCACGCAGTGCTGCCATGTCGGGATCGCCTCCCTCCATTTCCCTAGTCGTCTGCCCAAAAGGCCCAAACACGAGCCACGATTGCGACTGAGCGAGAGGGCTCCACGCGCCTACGCAGACTGCCACACGTGCCCCCTGGTTTGCCAAGAGCGAAGAGCAACATAGATCAGCAATTCTTATGCGAGGCCCAGAAGCAGCGGACAAGAGCGATATATATATATATATAGAGAGAGAGAGAGAGAGAGAGAGGGAGAGAGAGAGAGAGAGAGAGAAAGCGCGCAAGGGTTCGCCAGCATGTCTTTCCAAATTCACCGTGCGGGTTTCCCTACCCATCCCCCCATATGCAACCTCAGCACCCTGCTACTGGCTCCCCCTACGGCCCCTCCACGAATTTCTCCCACTGACTCCCGAACCATCTTCCCCTACTACCCCGTCCCAACTAACGCTTGAATGCATTCTGATCTGCAGACGCGCCCACGGAAACTGAAGCTGGTCGGGCACCCTTCCTCTCTCTAGTCAGGCTGTTCTCCAGACGAGCCGCGAAGTGCGCCAGACGGCCCCGAGTTGGCCCATGCAGTTTCCCTTGAAGACCTTGCCCCGTCCCCAGGGACGGCTTCCAGGAGTCCTCCCAGGCGATTCCGAGGCCACGGTCGGGCTCTTTGGAACTAAGGGGCGAGGGAGGAAAGAAGGAGAGGCTCCCGTAGAGGGAAGGGAGGAGAGCGCGGCATAGGTTCGGACCGACGCGCTGGCTCGCCGAAGTGTTCGCTTGCTGGCGCTTGGTCCACGCCAGGGAAATCTATGCACTGTGGCTGGGCATAGCCCAATCATATGTTTCGACGGGGCGCACGTTGAGGGCAGAAGAGGGGCAGTATCATCCTCCTCCTCCTCCTCCTCCACCTCCTCCTCCTCCTCCTCCTCCTCTTCCGAACACGTCCGAAGGACCTGTCCCGGGGTCCATCTGGGTAAGTTTGTTCACCCTGCATCGATTTTCTTTGACCCAGGGCCTTCCGTTCCCCCCGTTGATCGATTTTCGGCGGACCCTTGGCCTGCCGTTCCATTTGGGTGAGTTTTTCACCCTGTTAGGGCCTTCCGTTCCCCCCCCCCTCCTCGTCTTCCCCACCCCTCCCATCTTTGTTCCTCCTCTTCCGCCGATCTTATCTCACGCCTGTGTTGGATTGATCGGTGTGACCGTTTTGGCCATCCAATGAGGGCTCTTGTCACACATCGTGTTTTCACCCGCCTAGGTAAGCATCGTTGGCAACCACACTGCCTATTCTGGTGCAAGTAATACCCTTTCAGGCGGGGCGTATCGTTTTACGTACATATCCTGTGGCCTGCGGCCAGCGCAGGGGGGGGAGCTCGTTACTTTTCACGCGCTCGATCTCGCTCTCTCTCTCTCTCTCTCTCTTTCTTCTTCCCCCTATATGTAAGTTTGCATATATGTATAGATTTCTCAGGCCACGGTTCACCTCATGCGTTTGCCTATCGCAGGTCGGTTCGAGGGGGTGCACTCGGTTTGCATGGCGACTCTTTGAATCGGATGGCAGTTGATGAGGTGCAGTGTAGAGCTCATTTGTTTTATGCGAAAAGCTCGACGGACCCAGAACCCGAGACGGGCCTCCTGACGCATAGAATTGCGAAAAGCCCTTGCGAACTTCCTCCCACCCTCTCCTCCCTCCCTCCCTTTCCTGCCACCATCCGTCCGTCCGGTCGTCCCGCTCCCCCCATCCCTCCATCCCTCCCCGCCTCTTGGGAGGAGTCCCTCCCGCCCGGCCGAGGAGGGGTCGACCTGAAGTCGTTGATCGACGCCCTGCCGGCGACGTCGCGCCCCGGGCCCGCGGCGGCCTTATCCGCGGATGAGGACGGGGGGGGAGCAGCCGCTGCATCGGGGTATGGGGGTCGCGGGTCGCCGCTGTCGCCGCAGCTACCGTTGGCCCTCCCCCTGGGGAGGGGGAGGAGGAGGAGGACCAGCACGCAGTTGGATGATGCGTTCGGGCCACCTGTCCTCTCGGGCGGGGCGGCCTCTGCCTGGCTTGGGCTGCCTCTCTGGGCAGCTGCGCCCGCGGCACGGGAGAAATCCGACGACCCTCAGGGGGCCTTTCAGACACTCCATTACTGACCAGGGAAGCACCAGATAAGGGCTCAACTAAATACCTGATCTTGCTGTCAGTCAAGATCTATCCCATACTGGAGATCAGTGAGAAACGGGATACGGTCGATATCGAATCGAATTGGGCGAAGGGCGTAGCCTCAGCCGCTCTCCTGCGCAGGGAAGCACCAGGGGTATGCCTGGCTCGTCGACCTGCTGGCGGCACAGAAGTTCGCTCCTTCTCAAGGAGGGTTTCCGAAGACATGCCTGTCACCTGCGAAACAGGATACAGCATAAATGCACAGACACTGTATGCAACGAGCACTGAACAAATAACAAACATATTCTGATCTTACAGCAGCGGCATACAACAATAACTATCTCAGACTTCAGTGAATGCGGGCAACGCTACTCGCGGCCTCCATAGCTTGTATTTGAAGCTATTGAACTTGCTTTCGTAGCGTGGCTTCATATAGAAAGAGACAAAGTCTAGTCGGACAGGCGTGCAACTATCAATATTCATGTTGTGATGTCGGTCGCCTTCTCCTTCAACGAGCTGAACATATGCTTTCTCTATCTCGGCGCTCTGATTGCCGAAGGACAGCTTGTTTTCTCCAGCGCGGTACTTCCAGCTAGTGGTGTCGAAATGCTCCTGGACCACCTCGGAATTGACCTCTATGGCGTCGTCGTGGGGGGCCGCCTCATCGAAAGGCTCCGTGCCCAGGAACTGTTCCTGGACCTCCGCCTGGCTGCTGAAGCCGTCGTGCAGCTTCTCCAGCACAGCCTGCTCGATCTGCACAGGGTCCTCCTGGGTCTCTTCCGACGCCTCAATCGCCTCCTGGTTGGGCGGCCCGCAGCCCGCTCCGCGGCGAACTGCACCTCCTGCTCGTCCGCAGACTTCTTGATGTCGCCGTCGTCTCCCTCCACATCGAAGGGCCCCGTGCCCTGGGGATGCTCTGGGTCCACAGCCTGGATGTCGAAGCCGTCGTGCGGCTTCTCGGCCACGGCCTTCTCGATATGCTTGGCGTCCGGGACATCGATGATTCCAGGCACGGCGGCGGCATATTGCTCCGTGCCGCCCACGCGCTGCGGCGAAAGGATCCGCAGCAGCTCGTTCGTGAGGCCCTCGCCGTAGGTGACTAGATCGTTGGCCTCCATGTCGGAGACCAGCATGGCAGTGGGCGTCCAGAAATTCTCCTCGAGTTCGTGGTACAGCATGCCCGACGCGATGGGCAGCTGCGTCACGAGCCCAGGCGGGGGGCCCGCCGCAAGAAGGCCAGCCAGTCGGCCGTTGGCCTCCTGGAACTTGCGCGCATGGGTTGCGCGAGCTCTGGCGCGGCGGCAGGCGCTACGCGACGACGTTGGGGCCGCACTCCGTAGGGCGGCACACAGGAACGCCATCACTCCGCGTGGCTAACTGTGACTGGGGCGGGCCAGGCGAGGCGAGCGCACAAGGGAGCGAAAGCAGATTTCGTGAGCGTGGTGCCGAAAGGCCGCGGGGGGCCTGAGGAGGAGGAGGAGGAGGAGGAGGAGAGGAAGAGGCCATCCATCATGGAGGTTGTTGGGCGTCTTTGGGTGCGGCTCGAACGATTTGATCAAGATGAACCTGGGGAGTGGTCCGTAGGATTGTTTGAGCGAGTTCTGGCTGGTGTAGGGTGGGGAGGGGCGGGGGAGGAGGAGAAGGAGGAGGAGGTGGTGGAGGAGGAGGAGGTGGTGGAGGAGGAGGAGGCTTGTGGGTCGGATGATGCTGATGATGATGATGCTGCTGCTGATGATGATGCTGATGATGATGATGCTGATGATGATGATGATGATGATGATGATGATGATGATGATGATGATGATGGTGATGATGCTGATGATGATGATGACGATGCTGATGATGATGAGGAGGAGGAGGAGGAAGAGGAGGGGGAGGAGGAGGAGAAATAGGAGGAGGCGGAGGAGGGGGAGGAGAAGAGTAAACCAAGGATGCGTCAATGGTGCTGCAATGCACCCTCCTGTCCCGAGACCCCTCACCACACGTCTTTCCCATGGCTCATGTGTGCTGCGGGAAGCGACCCCTTGAAAGATGCGCGCGCCGTAAAGAACCCCCCCGCGCCCGTCGCACGCGCTTTGGGGGCATGCGGAGTCGAAGGCCCCGTGGGGTGCTGCAGCTTCGAAGTGGAATTGACCTCATGCGAGTTAGCATCTGCTGCTCTGGCGTACGAAGTGGTGGCCGTCAGGGAGCATCCTCAGCTCTCCACCGCTGCCCCTTCCGCGCCCTGTTGATGGAAACCGAGATTGTTCACGCTTTGTCCCTCCCTCGTGTTTGTGCGGCTTCCCTGGGCCAGTGCATGAAGGGTGGATCGGGGACACCATGAAAAGCTCGCGCCTCTTGTCGGTGCATCCCCCCGCCTTGGAAGATGCGGCGGAGGCCTCGCTCAACCAGGGCAGGTGCGCCCACGGACGGGGGTTTAGCTCACAGGACCGTGGGTTGTCCGCACCACGTCGGGAGGAGAGGATGATGCACTGCCCCTGCCACGTGTTGCCCTCCCCCCTGGCGTCATCTCGTCGCGAAAACCTTCTTACAGTAAAGCATGCAACGCTGGCCCAGGATGTGGGGATCCACCCTCAGACGCATCGTCCCTCTCGGACCCCTTCTTGTCTCGGACGATGGGAAGTCTCATTGGAGGTGCGATTGCTGTGCTTCCCCGTGTGGGGCATGGGCTGACCCGGCAGTCCTGGACTGACTGCATGGCCTGTTGTCCAGGGCGCTTATCCTCCTCCTCGTCCTCCTCCTCCTTCGAGTCGTGGCGCCTATCGGGTCACGATAGTATAGTGCGCCTTATTGCTACCTTTTGCAAGTCTTTTGCAGCTTCTGTCGTTGCTTGTTGGAGAGGCTGCGCAATCCAAATCTTTGAATTAAAAAAGAGGGGCGGAAGGAGGAGGAGGGGAAGGAGGAGGAAATGGAGGAGGAGGGGGAGGAGGAGGAGGAGGACGAGGTATGTGGGAGCGACTGATGTGTGAACCTTCCCGAACCTGTGGGCCACGGGCTGGTGCGGTGCGCCGCATAGGCACTCCCAACAGGAGGAGGATGCGGGGGAGGCGTGCGAGTCGGAGCGCGCGGGCGGCGAGGACGCGGACAGCGCGGCCTCCGACTCGGACTCAGACGCGGGCCTGGCCAGGCTGGCCCGCGGGCGCACCGCCGCGCGGGCGTCCGCAGGCGCCGCTTCAGTCGTCGTCGTGCCGCCGTCGTCGCCGCTGCCGTCCCCGCTGCCGTCGTGCCGTCGCCGCCGCCGTCGCCACCGCCGCCGCAGGCGCCGTCGTCGCCGTCGCCGCCGCCGCGTAGCCGCCGTCGTCGCCGCAGGCGCCACCCCGCCGACGGAGGAGGCCGCGGAGGCTCCGGCGGAGCTGGCGGCCGAGGAGGCGCGCCGCACTCTGCCTCGGCCGCCCCTCTCCTCGGATCTCGGCGTTGCAAAACAGTCGCCTTGGGACCGAAGCGGTCGTCCTGGGCCGTAGGTGGAGCTCTCTACTGAAGGGTGTGCCGAAATCGGCGGGAGGGGGAGGAGGAGGAGGAGGACGAGGAGGAGGAGCAAGAGGAGGAAGAGGAGGAGGAGGAGGTCCGTAGCTAGTTTGGCTCAAGCCATTTGGCTCAAGGGGGCGCTTGGACGCAGTTCTGCTAACAAGGTGGCATTTCCTGGACACCCCGTCAGTCGGCCGTCCTGCCAGATTCTTGGCCCCACCATCCCCATCGCTCTTCCCTCATGAATGCCCCGCAATGTTCACAAATCGCCCCATGCTGCTGTATGTGGTACTTGCGGCAACAAGTGGAATACTCTTTGGGCTAAGGTATGCTACCACTGTGGTGCCTCCGCCCCCTCCAGGGAAAGGGGCAGGCTCAGGTGTACCCATGCACAACAACTACCTCCAGTCGTACGAGGGCTACGTGGGTGTGGGGTTGGGAAGTGGAAGAGGACACGGACGAGACCAAAAAGGACGCGGAGGAACAGTTCGAGGAAAAGGAAACGGAAGGGCATGGGTGGACGGGGAGCAGAGGAACTAGCAGACAAAGAAAAAGGAAAGCAGCAGCAGGACAGAAAGGCAATCCAACACTTCACAGCCTCCACCACGTCGCGCAACAGGCCATGTCCAAACAAAATGAGCCACCACAAGATTTCGTGGACCAGCTCGAAGAAAATGATACAGCAGCCCAAGCAGCCAACTTGGACGAAACCCCGCCAAGTAAACAACTCCAGCAGCAGCAGGAGCAAACTATCAATAAAAAAGCAAGCAGCTGCAGCGTGTGCAGAATGAGCTGGCAGAAATGGAACTACTGTTGGAGGCCACTTTGCCCACGATAGTGATCTGGCACAGAAAGCGGAACTGTTCGAGAAAGAGTTGGAGGACGTGCGTGGGGAAGCGGCTAAATTTGCGGCAGACAAGTTCTCCTGTTAGGGCGAGGTATAACTTAAGCTGGCTCTCTGTGGGGAAGCTATTAAATCCCATCCCGAAAAATGTCATTTGTTGCGCGCGTACGACGCTAAGTACGCAGTGGAAGTGGCAGGGTCCTCTTCTAGACCAGCAGGTCAATCAGTCGTGGACGCGGAAGAAGAGCGCTCAGCAGCAGGAGTCGCAGCAAAGGGATCAGGGTCAGAGCGTGGGGCAGAAGCAACAGAGCCAGTATGGTATGACAAAGAATTGGGCATTCTGGATGAAGACATGCTTTCTCTCTCCGTCAAGAACGACCCAGCAGCTCAGTCGACCACGAGGCTCTCTTGGACAAGTTCAAGAATACCAAGACGCATGCCAAGGTATGCCCACAGAAGGCGTGAGGGACGACCTGCAGGCAGCAGCGGGCAAGATCGCAGCCAAGCTCATGCGCTTCAAGGGAAGGGGCAAGAGTGCAGGAAAGGGCCCGGCATCCGCAGCAGCAGAGTCGGAGGAAGAAGAGAGCTTTTTCTATACGCATGCCATGCTTGTTCCAGGGCCCGAGGTCAAGCTAGTTCAAAGGCCCACAGATTGCGTCGTCAGCGCAGTCAGCGTCAGCAGCTGGCAACTGGTTTGGCTTGCTTCCCTGTGCATCTGCTGAAGTCGTTATTGCCCGGGAACGCCGCCTTCGGCCGCGGGGGTACAAGCGAGCAGCCGAGTATCTACAGCGCGCAGGCTACGCAGTTCATGGGTCCCGAGGCCGAGTGAGCCCCAAGGGGGCGCGTCTAGTGGCGTTCCCATCCTGGCCTGAGGGCACTTGAACACATGGGCGGGCGCTTCGCAGACCCCGTGCCAGGCAGTGTCCAAGGGGTATGCTACTATACTGCCAGATATCTCGCGCACTTCAGTGCGGCGAAGACCCGAACGAAACCAATTCGGAAACCATCGCGCACTGACGCCCAGCAATAGTGGGGTGTGACCTCAACATTGGCGTCGCCATCTCTGCTGAACGCGCGGAGCTAAGGCGCCGGGATCTGAAGGACAGGCGTGCCTCCTCACCCGCGCTGATCATCCAGAATGGAGAAAGCGAAGTGGGGAGGGGCCCCCACATGGATGATGTCCTGGCAACCACGGTCCTGAGACATGCCATTCAAGCAGCGCCTATCAACCGCCCCGTAGAGCTGCTTCCGCAGAGGATGGTTGAACTGAAGTTACTGCGCACCGTAAAAGACGGGAGGCCCAGCAGCGTAGCGCACATATCAAACACGCGAAGCTATAGCGCATGTACGCCATCCTGCCATGCCCGGCCATCAGGACCTCACCGCTGACCTGTTGACATTCCTGCAGGCCCGCGCTGGCCAAGGAGGCAGAACGTGAAGCATCGCAGGCGGCAGCGCGGATTTAGAGGTCGGCATGGTCATCCTGGATCAGGCCTGTTCAAGATGGACACCCAAAGTGGTCGTAGAAATGAGCTCGAAGACCCGAGCCCCTACTTCGGGCAAGCAACCGGGCGAAGCCCTCGAAGACAAACAAGCACCGCTGCAGGCGCCACTGCAGACGAAGCGCTGCGATCAAGCACCCCCTGGAAGGGCTCTTTCGCGGCTGAAGAGACGCGCGCAGGACGTGTGCTCGTCTCTGCGCATGGCGAGGCCCCGCTGGGGCACTGCGCCGCCCTGCTGAAGGCGACGATCGAACTGCCGCGAGCAGGAGGCCCATTCCGAACTTGGACAGAAGGATGTCATGTCTTCCACCCGTGGATTTCCGAATTATTTGCAGTCTACACGGGCGCAGTCGACAGCTCGGGCGCGCGCGTCGATTTTGCCGGGCCTCTCTTCGCGCCCTGCCTCGCTTCGTCAGCGAGGGCAGGGGGCAGACAGGAGGATGCAGAGGGGTAAGTTGGCTGGGGCGGGTGGATCAAGCAGTAGAAGGATCGGCATCAGCTGTTACATCGGCATCTCACGCATGTGGATTCACTACAAAGAAGCGGTTCTCATCCACACACACTCTGGCCCCACGCGGGCACATCTGTCACTGTGGAGCAATGAGTTGGCAGCCCCTGACAGGCCCCACCCAGAAAATGAGCGCTAGTGTCTCGGCGCCCCATCCCAGCCCCAGCAGCAGTGGGGCCAGGAACGCTTAAGTACATTACCAAGAAGTTCAAGGAGCGCACCTGTCAGCCCGACGGCTTTCACCACCGACGCTTTGGGGTCTCATTGGGGCCTGGGTTGCAGGTTACGAGCTTGCTTTTTCCAGTTAATGGGCGCCCTAGCCCGCGGGCCATCCAGCGCGCGAAGCACCCGGCCCCTCCTTGCGCGCAGGCACAAAGACCCAGGCAAAAGATCCATCGCATTCTTCGCAGGCGTGCTTCGCATCGGGGCAGAGCCAGCAGCGCGCGGGCGCAAGCCGCGGGAAAGAGAGCATGGGATGGGGGGGGGGGATTTTCAGCAACGCAGGGAAGGTCACCGGAGGATTCAGCAGGGAGAGAGAATGCGAGGGCACAGCTTCAGGCCCTGAACTTCAGGCAGGAGAGGGGCGCCACGACTTACAGCTCCTTTGGGGTATATCTGCACTCCGCGAGAACCTGGGCCACAAATTGATGATGGGCCAGGCAAGCGTCGCACGTTACCCTCTCCATTTTGCTATTCAGCATACGCGCATATAGATGGCCTGGGCGGCCCCTACCGGATGGCGTCATCTCTGCGCCAGCATGCCCAGCCAGAGGCGTCGCAGCGGGGGGGTCGTCGGCCGCGTGCGAAGCGAAATCATGCATGATCCCGATTGCGACCCAGGCAATAGATGAGGGCTGCGAACGCACGGGAGCCAGCATCGACATAGACGATATGAAGTCCATATCGTCTAGTTCATATCGACATGGCGCCGAGGTTCATAGTATGAACCTCGGCGCCTGGGGGGAAAACGTGGACTGGATCATCGAGTCTTTAACCGCGCTGGCAACCATCATATTCAATGGGCTGGCGGGCCTCGACCTTGCCCTGCCTCTACCTAAGCTCAACATGGCGGCCAGCTCTTCGAAGCTACTCATGAAGGCCAAAGGCGTTCTCAGGGATCTTGGTGGCTCGCCAGTACCTGCAGCAGTGACTCTTGGATGTTTTTTTCCAGCACGCCGCCAACGTGCGAGAGTGCCAGGAGCCAGGGCCCAAATAAGTATAATGTGGATCGAACTTCGAGGCAGGATAAAGGACATCCAGGGCCTTCGACTCAAAGGCTGAACCGGGCTCCTCAAGTGCCGTTTTTGTTGACAGACAATTGGCCCGACGACGGACCCAACCATCTGAAGTTGCGAGTACCGCGTTCGGTACCGGCTTCGGTGAAGCTCCCTACGGGGCCACGAAACGCGCGAGGGGTGCGCCGAAATCGGTGGTGCGGACGCATGTGGACACCGCCACTGGGGCCTTCGGTGGAGCTCCCTGTGGGGCCGCGAAGCGCTGTCCTGGGTGGCGTTGGAGCCTTCGCTGAAGCTCCTCATGGGGCCACGAAGCGCTGTCATGGGCGGGGGAGACGCATGCGAAGTGCGGAACTGACGCTTTCGGTGGAGCTCCCTATGGGCCCACGAAACGTTGTCCTGGGCGGAGGAGACGCATGCGAACGGTGGAACTGACGCCTTCGGTGGAACTCCTTATGGGGCCACCAAGCGCTGTCCTGGGTGGCGGTGACGCATGCTGACCCTGCCACTGGATCCTTCGTTGGTGCTCCCTGTGGGGCTACGAAGCGATGTCTTGGGTGGGGGAGACGCATGCGAACGGTGCCGCTGGGGCTTTCGCTGAAGCTCCCTATGGGGCCACGAAGCGCTGTACTGGGTGGGGGAGACGCTCCCTATGAGGCCGCGAGGGGCTGTCCTGGGCGGGGGGAGACGCATGCGAATGGCGCCACTGGGGCCTTCGGTGGTGGAGCTCCCTGTGGGGCCACGAAACGTTGTCCTGGGTGGCGTTGACGCATGCGGCCTGTGCCACTGGAGCCTTCGGTGGAGCTCCCTGTGG